CGATATTACCTGTTGCCTAGAAGTACCGTTCGAATTAACAACAAATTGTTGTCTGTTTGTCAAATAACTCAATATCAATTTGTTGAATTTGCCTCGAAAGCCGTACGCGCATAATTTTTCCAGATAAATGCAATGGTTAACTGTATCAAATTCCTTTCTTAGGTCAATAAAAAGTGCCAAGCACATATTTTTTGTCTCAATTGTTTTTCGCATGTGTTCAGTAACTCGAATGATAGCATGAATACAAGAATTTTTTTCGCGGAAATTAAAGTGTTCCGTATTAAAATATTGTTTTTGTTAATGAAAACTAGCATTCTTTTATAAATTAGTTTTTCAAAAATTTTACTAAAAACTGTCAAAAGACTAAAAGGTCGATAACTACTGGGATTTTCTCTGTCTCCTTCTTTCAGAAAAGCGACAATTTTTGCAATTTTACAAGCATCTGGAAAGTCTGCACTATCAATACATTTATTTAAAATGTTTGCCAGGAAAACAGATTTGACTGGTGAACATAATTTAATCATTTTAGTTGAAAGACCATAATGACCACTTGAAAATTTAGTTTTTAAGGCCCCTATTATTTTAAAAACTTCATTCATGTTAATCCGTTTTAAAAGTTACAAAATTTGATATTTTTCTGTCTAAATTTTGAGAAGCAGAACCAACAGGTGGCATAGAATTGCTCAGGTGTTTACCAATATTGACGAAGAAATCATTAAGTAAATTTGGTTCAATCTCTTTTTGGGCTGGTTTTTGTTTTCCACAAAAAAGATTAAAAGCTTCAATTCATCTAATACAAGCTACTGCTTCTATAAAAAAAATCTCATTATGTTCTATTTGGCTGATTTTTAGTCAGGTTTCAGACAAAAAACATAAACCCCTATTTTACTGGTGTGTTTTGAATTCAGGTGGCAAAAACTGATATCAACTTTCGTACAGCAGTCAAGATCTTCGCAATCCCATTTCGCACCAACGTTTCAAAAAAAGTTGGACAAAGTCATTCTCTTCAGTATAATTTGGAAATCACTGAAATTGCGGATTTGTTAACAAATTTTTCCTGACAGAAAAAAATTTGAGGAGAAGTTCTATTCCTTGCTTTTCGAGAGAAGAGAAGAGCGAAAAAACAAAAAAAACTTTGAGATTTGCCAGCAGAATAAAATTCCCTACTTTAATAAGCAAACATACAAACAAAGGCTACAAACGCCAGCAAAACAGGTAGAACTAAAACAGGTAGGTTTCTATGATTTCATTCAGAAGCATTTTAAGAACACATCAGAAAACGTTTTTGTTCTTCAAAGAAAATGAAAAATTTGAGTTCAGGGTGATTTTGTCCAGGCCATTTTCGATTTTTCAACAAGCCATTTTGGAACAAAACTTTTTCAATAATTTTTTGGGGTTCGAAAACTGGATATCGCGAAATATTTCGTGCTAAGAAATTTTGCTTATTTTACGCGCGAATTATTTCATGCTGTTAACGCATAAGCAGCTATTTTATCCGCCATAAATCGTTCGATACAGAATTGAGGTAATATTTGGTGTTAATAATACGTTACTAGAATATCAATTTATAAGAACATCAATTTATACTTGTCATTTATACTTGTCATAGTGAAGTTTTCAATAAATCCAAAAAATTTCAATTTTTTTTGTGTTTGCAGTTTTTTATTATTTTTCCTCTTTTATGTTTCAAAGCCGTTGAAGGGCAGTCAAAAAAAGTTCGCCCTGATACGAGCAGTCTAGTTATACTTGGTGGAATAAACGCCCATAACTGGTGAACTCACCGCCTTGACCCAAAAAGAACATACATATATTTTTCCATAAAAACTTTTAATCAGAAGTTCAAAAAATGCACATTTCAATCGAAAAGAGTAGAGCGTTGGCAAGGCAAAAAATAATCTAATTGAAAAATGTATCCGAAACTTTAAAATTGTCAATTTTGTAATTTAAGTTAAGAAATACAGATTATAACAGCCAAAATAACTGTTTCGAAACGCTTGAAAGGACAAACAAGACTGCTCGTATCAGGGCGAGGCCCTGAATGTTCCGACAACTTTTTGAAGATCCATGGAGCAAAAAATAACATGAAAAAAAAATAGCTGTAATAAAATAAAATTAAAAAAGCTTAAAATTTGAGATTTATTTTGAAAATCATCCCCCCACACGTCACAGAAAGTATAAAGAGATTCGTTCCTAGTAACATATCAATTATGGCAAATAAGCTTCCTTCAACCAATTTTGAACGATTTCTAAGACGGATTAAATTGCACGTTAGTGGTCCCAAATTGGCCAAAATAGCAATCTTTAAACCCTCATAACAAAAAAATGATCACGGGTAAAATATATTTTCAAATTTAAGCTCAGGACAACAATACTTTGTATATGATGCAAAAAACTCTCACTCTCCGTCAAAAATGGCTAGTTAAAATGACGAAATTTTTCTGAAGAAAAAACTCACCCCGAGCACAAATATTCCGTTACGGTCGTGAATAATTAGATAAAAGACTGTGCCAATAAACTGCTGAAAATAAAACTTAGTTTACAGATCTCATTTTTCGAAATTCATGCGCCAGAAAAAGAAATCATTCCAAATTAACCGCTAAAACTCACTTATTTAATCATTCGGCATCTTGATACTTTTGTTGAAAGCAAAGGAAGGCACTCATTCTTCAAGTATTTTTCCAAATACACATTCTTCGAAAATGATTAATATACTAAATTTATGCTTGTTCAGCCGTCTTTCGATGTAAAGCGATCGTTTTATAAGGAGGCATTGAAATGCAACATGAATTGAAAAGTATAACTTGAAACCCGGGTTGACCAAAACTTCTTATCATACAATTTCCATATATGAGAAACTTCTTGTCATACAATTTCATACAATTCCATACGCACAGAAAATTGTATGAAAACTCTATGATAAGCATTTTTCCATATATGAAAATTGTATGATAGGTGTTTTCCCATTAACCAAAAATTTTGATTTTTTCTTTCTAAATTTAGTTTCTGAAAAATTTTCGGTTGTAGTTGCAACCGAACACAAGTGACAAAGACCTTGGTTACTCAAAACACCAAAGGTTGGACGGTCTTGCATTTACGATGCATAGCAAACGACCTGAAAGTAGCTGTTTTTCACAATCCATATAACAAAAGTAACAAACTTTTATTTTTTGGCAAAATTTTTTAATGATGATTATTTTAAATTTTTGAATTTTCAAGTTATCAGACATTGATCAAGGCTTACATTGACACCCCATACAAAAGAAATAGGAATTTTCAGCGTTTTTGAAAAAAAAAATTAAGTGAAAAGAAAATAAAAGCCAATTTTATCGTATCCAGGACTACGTTATGCACACAAAATATTAAATTTTGCATGCAACAATTTTTTTTTTCGAAAAATGTTTGTTTGCGTACGAAAATCGATTTGCGGTGAAAAAAAAACCAAAAAAATTTTTTGGCTAAATTTTCAAAATTACTTGAAAAATTTTTTGTGTCGCCACCAAAAAATGCCAGTCATACAATTTCCATATATGGGAATTGTATGATAAGCATTTTTTTCATAAACGAAAACCTCAGTTTTTTATCACCAGATTGTTTTATTAGAATCAAACAGCCACAGAAATGAGTTTATACCAGTTTTCAACCATTTTTAGAAAATGTAAAAAAATTGTATGACAAGCATTTTCCCACACACTTGATGTATGGAATTGTATGATAAGCATTTTCGGTGTATGGAGGTCAACCCGGGAACATAATCATCTTTGAACATTTTTGCCACAATTTAAAAGTTTGATGCTTTCAGTATATGATTTGTGAAGAGAACTCTTACACAATTCAGGTCGCTTTTAATGCATTGTAAATGCCCGACGATCAATTTTTGGTGACTCTAGTTTTGAGTAAACCATGGGTTAAGTCACTTGTGTTCGGTCACGAACGCATCCCAAAAACTTTGAGAAATAAAAATAAAAAAAAAACAACAATTGGTTGTCCTACATTTTCCATATATGAAAAACTGCTTATCGTAGAGTTTTCTTAACATTTTCGGTATCTATGGAATTGTACGAAATTGTATGATAAGCATTTTGCATTTTTGAAAATTGTAGGATAAGCATTTTTGGTCAACCCGGGAAGTCAGTGATAGACCTTTTCGAACCAGTTACCTTAAAATATCGAAAACAAAACGTTTTCGCGGTACTCGATATATGTGCAGTAAAGATTGCTGGACCATTTTTTCAGCGCTAAATCTATACATTCTTTTCCAAAAATAATTTTTTTTAATTTTAAAATATATCTGATATATTCATACAATTATCTTGCAGTGAATAATTTTTACAGAAAGCAACTCAAGCTACGCGTAAACCGCGTTAATTCAAAAAAGGAGAAAGGGTTTAAGTGGAAATGTAGGGCTCCAACTTAAAAGACTGTCCGAAAGCCAGTAATGGTCAAAAAGACAGTTCTGAGTCAGTAATGGTTCAACACTGCGGTTTGTGTCTGGTTATATCTCTGATCAGAGCAAGTTACGCCCAGTGTTTGGTGTTTGAATCCTTAAAAATGTTGCAGAGCTCATTTTTAATCTTATATTATCCAAATATTCTTGAAACCTTGCTTAGATCTTATAAGATTTTAACAAGATAACAATGGCGCCCGGCAAGATCATGGCAAGAAATCCAAGAAGCCTAACATGAGTTGACAATTCATTATTGAGCATTTCACAACTCGAAGATTTTGCCAAGATATTCTTATTGACTTGATTTCGGATCCATGGGTAAAATCATGCTAACTTTTATCAAGATCATGTTATGATGTCCATGATTTTCAAACTCAGAAAATTACTTCAACACTCTCTGAAGCAGATCTGAAACAGAAAAACAAAAACTTTACCAATATCAAAACACTGGATTTTTTTTCTATGTATTTTTGCAGTACTGCTTTTCTTCTGCAGTTGAATAACTGAGCCAAAACTGCTTTTTACTCGCAGATCAAAGCGCGATAGTCTATAGACAGACTTTCACAAAACTGAGAATATATATAGCATAGTTTTCTGCTCAACTAATCGTCACAACCAATATTTATTACCTTCAAATGCTTATCATGAAGCTATGTTAGTTGTATATTAAACGAGACATTGCTAAAGCTTATTCTTTCTGTTCTTATCTCAAATAGTGTTTCAATTATTTGTCAGAACGGTTTTCCTATTTGATGTCCAAAATTATGGCTGATTCCAGAAACCATCTCTGAATAATCCGTTTAAATTGTATAATGTTTTTTATTTAAACTTTTCTAAGCATTCGCAAGCTTATTTTAAACGTTGAAAACTGACAAACAATTTAGCTTTACGGTTTGAAAAATGACTCCCTAAAAGATCTTATCTCACACTGTAAATAAAATTTTTTCTCATTGCTTTTCGTTCATATTTGAGTTATAAATTTGTCTAAACTAGCCCTCTTTGTTTTACCCAAATGCCTAGTCGAAAGAATTTCATGAAATTTCTGACCCGTTCTCGCTCCAGCCCCGACAGCAAAGACTCAGGTTTTCCTAATGTTTTAATCACTAATTATGCAGAATCACTGCAACCAAATGTTTATAAAAACCGTCGGAGACCATGGTAGTGACTGAGCTCCATGTTTTAAAAAGTATTCGTTCACTCGGTCTCTAAATATTCTTAATTTATCAAGAACATGTTTTTCCTGAGACAATTGCGATTAAAAATGGCTATGTTGCTACTCAAAATGGGGATGTTTTGAACACCGGGACTCAAAAAGTGAATGATGCAGCTTTGCGTGATACCCAAGAAATTTTGTGCAACTATGCGAACCGAAGTGTTGGTGCGCAACCTTGCGCGACCCAAAAAAATGTAAGTCGCGCCATTGCGAACCGAAGTGTTTTGCGCGATTTTGCGCCAAAAATTTGCGCCAAAAATTTAAAATTTAAATTTGAGTTTTATGCAGCTTTGTGCGACCCAAAAAAGTTGAGTCGCGACTTTGCGCAACCGAAGTTTTGTTCGACAAATGGCCACAATTAGAATTAGGTTTGACTTGGTTTTGATTGAAAAATAGTTCTTGAGCGTGGCGTTTTGGTACATTATGCATGCTTTTTTTCAGCTGGTTTGGCAAACATTGTAATTTGCCGCAATCCGCTTCTTCCTTATTTGATTATTCGTTTCTGAAGGTTTAGTCAAAAACAGAGCTAATTTGAATTTGGGAACAAAAACCGCTGAGAATTTTTTGAGAGTTTTTTGCGGCAATTTGCTTTGCAAAACTGAGACCCAAAATTTTGCCCCCTTGTTTTTTTTACTATGTTAATCAATAGCAAGTAAGGACAATTGCTTAAAAATATTTCAAAAGTCTTATTTAGCAACAAAAACTTTAGGATGTTTGCCTCAAAAAGTTGCTACATTGTCAATTTTTGGTAAGCTACCAATTGAAGTTTTTTTATTTAAGCAAAACCTAAGACATTATACATTGTTTAACAACCTCTGATGGACTAGTCTGCGACTCATGTTGTTATAGTTGGATTGAAGCATGACGTAATAAGACAAAAATGTGGGTTTGATTAGCGCCATAATAATTGAACCACATTCTGGTAGAAAAAAATCATGAACTTTTGTCAATTATGTTTGCAAAAAACTTGTTTTTCCGACTGTCGATGAAAGTGAAAAAAATGTGTTCGAGTTTTTACCTAGCCCATTTTGGACAAGATTTTCAAAAAGTATTGTTTTCCTGCGCTCAAACTTAAAAGGAATATATCATCTGCGATCCTTTTCTGTAAAATTATGGGGTTGCCATTTTGAATAGTTTGAGATAGTTAACATGCAATAAAATTCGAAAAATTAACGCCGAAGCGGAGGTTTAATCCAACTTAGAAATCAAATAAAATTGAAATGAGGTATGCTACGATGAGTCGTGTTTAATTGTGCACGGTGCAAAAAAAAAAACAAGACTGCTGGTATATCAGGCCGAATCTCTGAATATTTTGACTGCAATTTAAGGCCAATTAAAAACATATCTTAATCTGAAAAAATGACTTAAGAACGTCTTCCCTTGTTTCTTCATTTCATCCCTCCACAAGTTATCTAAAATGAAATGAGATGTATTTAGCGTCGCCTATCCTATTGAAAAAACCAAACTAGTTGCCTCAATTAAATTTCGAACGATTTAACTCACCAATTACGCGTGTTTTAAGAACGCAATATATCGCCTGTTAATTATCCCAATTTGGCCAAACTAGCCATTTCCAAACCCCCCACAAATTTTAAAAATTTGTCACATGTAAAATGAATTCAACACTTGAGTTTCGGAGAACATTAGCTTTCAGATTGTTTCAAACGTTTCTGTCAAAAACGTTGACTGAAAAATTGAAATTTTATTGAATAACAAAACCACCCTAAGCATAAATATTCCGATTACTTCGAAAGACAAAACTGTAATTTATATCAAATTAACCAAAACTTCATCCGGTTGTTGTCCCGATTCTAGAAATAAAAGCTAAAAACTGGACAAAAATTGGGGAGAAAGTTTGTATTCGGGTGAGTCTTAGAGTTTTTTCGACGCAAAACCAAAAACCACAATCAATCGTTGCAATGGGTCGATCAATATATCATATTAAAACCCTTTCAGTAAGTTGTCCCGTTCAGTGCGTTTTTTAGCGCTTCCTGGTAAAACATTTTAAGTCTTGAAACTGATTGAACAAACAAAAAATGTAAAATTTTGGAAATTTCAAAAAAATTTCGTTTGTTATTCATTTTTTGAAATCAATGAATGTCAAAAATGCCCAATTAATTAGCCTTCTTGCATAGTTTTCTTATCACGCTAAGCACAAAAAAACGTTAAATTTCACAAAAAATGTAGCTGATACATGTGTTTGTTATGCCTAGGTCATACATATCTTTGTTATATAATACAATATAAATAAATTTCCCGACTATTCTTGTTATATTTTTGTAAAAATTATGATGAAAAACTTTTCCGATAGAAACTACACTTGATTTGGAAAAAAATAAACTTGTTCGAAGCAACATGGAGTGAAGTCGAATTACACCATGAACAACAGCCGGTTTGTAATCCGTTTTGTCAGTTTTACAATACAGAAGAAAAAAACTAAAGATGAAAATTTTTATTGAGTGATGCAGACCACCTCTCAGGGGCATATGTGATGTTCTTATTCAACCCTTTTAACATTCGACAAAGTCAGTCAAACAAATACAGCCAGGAAAAAATTGTTTCTATAAAAAAGCACAATAAAGAAAGCGGCAAGAAAGCTGAAACACAAATAACTATTTAAAGCTCTTTTCAGTTGCTTTCAACTTTGAAACCTAATTCTCATAATAAAAGCTTGTTATTAAAAATTGAATAAATTCTGATGTTTTTTTGGATCGGAATCTTTGTTAGTTCTGTTAAAAGTTCCACAACTCCCAGATGTTAAAGTTTTTAATTGTCTGTTTTTAGAGGAGCCCCCAAATAAATGTTTTCAAGTTTTTGCCGAGCTATTCTTTGCATTTCTGACGCGCTGAGCGTAAACTCAAAAACCTAATATATTGTCGGGATTTTATATACCAATAAGCTTGACACAATTCAATTTAGAACAATTTTGTCGAGCGGGATAACTTGCCTCGGGTGAATAATGCACGTTACACTTTCCTTTCAGCATCAAAGTTTAAAACGAGCATTTTAGTAATATTCGTTTCACAGTGACCGTAACGTCGTTTAAGTAAAGTGTTCAAGCTGACCCTTCTCTGAACACAAAGATCTAAGTATTGATTCCCGAGAAAAAAATTATTATGAAATTTGGTCTAAAAAAACCACCCTAATCATATATCTTCTTTTCTTTCTTTGAAAGTCTGATTAATTACTAAAACTGGGCGCAGTAATTTAAAAACAATTTTTACTATTATCTATTGACGTACTTTTTTGTTACTGCCTAGTTTTTATAATTAACAATCAGTACAATTATTTCTTGGCAAGTTTTCATATCAAATGAAAATTGCCCGTAAGTATAAATTAATCGACTATTAGAAACTATTAAAAAAAGAAAATTTTTCAAATCCCAATAACTGAATTTTTGAATACCCATAATTTTACAAAAAATGATCACAAGTAGAAAATCATTTATCTCTGAGCTCCGAACAACAACATTTTTTCAGATGGTTATTACAAACTTGGTCAAAACGCACACCTAGAAAATTATAAAAATTGACTTATTGAAAGAACCACGTCAAGCATAACTATTTTGCACTTTTTTTGTAACTTCTTGAGCTAGTGGGTCATCCATGAGTAGCATTTTCTCGGCCAACCTCTCAGCGCAAAATCCAAACAGCCTATACATGAGTTTATTTTTTAAAAATCGAATAATAAGGTTGATACCTTCATTCACTTATTTGAGTTGCAAAATGTAATCTGAACAATGCAACACTTACTATGAGTTGTACGTCGCAAAAAGCAAAAGAAGACTGCTCATTTCCGTGCTACACCCTGAATACTTTGATTGCTCTTTTACGTCTACAGAGTAGTGTTCGAATTAATAACAACTTATGAAAACTTGCAAAAAAAGATCGCATGATTTTAATTTTTGATTTTTTTTCTTCAATTCATCTCCCTACAATGTTCACGAAAACTTTTTAAAAAATTGGTATAATTTTTATTTTTGATTTTTTCTCACAATTCATCTCCCCATATGTTTTTTAAATTACAAAGTGATATAATTAGTGTATGGTAACGTACTAGATCAACTATCGAGTCTCAAATCAATTAGGTAGGAAATTTAACCAGATCAAATCACCGCTTGTGCGTTAGAAAGCACTAAGTATATCGCGCGGTAATTATCCCAAACTGGTCAAGCCCTGATAATTTTACGAAGAAGGGTCACAGATTGTAGTAGTTTTTTTTTAAACTAATTTAAAAACTTGAGAACATCAATTAATTTAAGATGACATTTTAAAAGTTCCCGTCAAACTGGGCAAGTTGAAAAGTCGAAACTTTTCTGGAGAAATAACCATTCATAGCACAAACATTGCGTCACGCTCTTCGAAGGCGAAACACTAAGGAAAGGGTGCGAGTGAAAAAAAAAAGAGTTCAAACTAAAAATTGGCCGAAAGCCGCACTCGTACAGTAGTGAGTCATGGTTCAGCACTGCGATTTGTCTCTGGTTTCTCTCTGATCAGAAGTGGTCACGCTGGCACAGTACTGATACAGTATTTGCTCTTCTAATGCGTTCAATTACTGAAACAAAACTAATTTTGGGTGGCCGATCAGAACGCGCGTTTAGACTTTCAGAAGACTGAAGTTAAACTGAAAATTATTTTTTGCTAACTCACTTTTAACAGTTATTGACTTCGTATACGCTTTTGATGAAGCTGATAGTTGTAGAATAAGCCAGACACTGCTTAAAGCTTATACCTTACGGTTCTTATCTCAAGTAGTATCTTTCAGCTGTTTGTTAGAACGATTTATCTATTTGATGTTGAAATTTGGTTAATTCCAGAAACCACCAGCCTCTGTAAAATCCATTCAAATTTATTGTTTTCCATATATCAT